GCGGGACGACCGTACTTCATCATCATGGCAAAAACTTCGTTACGACTCTTACGACGAGCTTGATGTGAACCAATGATATCGCCGGTCACCGCTTTGACGTAATGCGACAGTGTGTCCAACAGTTCTTGGGTTTCGGCGTCGACTGGATGAGAGTAATGATCAGGATTTGCTTGACGGTCCACCAACTCCTGCAGGTTTTTCTGACTAAGCATTGCAAGCTTCGCTGCCGCCTTCTTTCCATACGGAGTTTCGCACTTGAGCGACGTCAATCTGCTCGTCTCATGCCTGACTAGCATATTGCATATAGCGGGGAGAAACCAGGTGTGATCACAAAATCCGGCTCCAGCAAGCCTCAACATCGCATTGCCTGTCTTGGCTGGGCCGCGGCTCAATAACAGCTTGATGTGCTCGCGAAATGACAGGTACTTGGGGAGTTCATCGTTGCGCTCGAGATTGCAGCCGCCCTCGCCGTAGGGGAATAGTTGTGGAAAGAGCTCGGGAAGATGAGCACGATCATATTCACGAGACAGAATGGTCTGCCTCGTGACATTGATGCTTTCGGGTGGCGCTTGCGAATCGCTTTCATTACTGTCAATTGGACGATCTTGTCCAAGCTTTGCCGCAGCAATCTTCGTCCTGTAACTGCTATCGAGAGTGTTTGCCTCAGTGTCCACAATAACAGTTCTCTTCGGATGATGGCTGTGTTGTCCCGCTACATCATTACTGTTGTTGTTTGTCGGTCCAACAACTGAGTCGTCAAGTGGAATGAAATCTGGTATACGCATGTCTTCATCGAATCCTTCATTCTCTTGCTCGTTCTCAAGATGGTCGCCGTCCTCATCGTTGAAGATGATAGGTTCGTCGTAGAATACAGTTCCGGTTTCAGGGGTGTTCGTCGCATTACCGTCAACTGGCCCGTCGGCTGGACGTCCATTACTACTCTGGTATCGAAGGATGGCTGAAGGTATTCCGCCGTCGTAGGATGAGGCCGCTTCCTCATTCCAAGATGCCCCAGCATATGCAGGATGTCGCCAGCGTAGCCATTCCCAAGCTTCCTTCATCCTGTCGCGATCCACCACAAGCTCCTGTTTCACGTAGTCGGGTTTTCCATCCTCATTGATGAGATTGACTTGGATGCTTTTTGCAAGCTCTTCCGGAGGCATGGGCAATTCCCGTAGCGACTCGTTCTGAAGGTCACTGATACTCTGAGGGTGGGATATCCAGTGACCTTGGTAAGCTCTTTGACGAGGGCCGACGCCTGAAGGTACAGATACTGCGGGTACAAGGCGGTAGCAAGCACCCCCAACTCTCCTAATCCCAAGACATAATGATTCCAGATCTGTAAGCTTTAATAGCACTGACGGGACGGTTCCTGAATGGGTCCACGTCCCGTTGGCTAGACTCAGCTTCGGCGGGTTGACTAAAGGCGTCCCTCGAAGACTCTTATGACACTCTTTGCACAGCTGAAGTCGATCGTTCACGACGCCACTTTGACTGATGATGTGATTCGTGAGAGACGGTAGGTTCTGAAAAGTAAACATGTCGTTGAATTCAGCCTCGAGCTCTGGCTTCTCCGCAAAGTTGGAACGCATGTACGTCAAGAACTTCTCTGGTGGAGGGACCTCAAGACATTTCAAATTACCTGGCCGCACCAGGAACCTCTTCACTTGTCTGTCGTTCCAGGTCTTTTCGATACGCTCGACTCTGGCGCACACACCACAGATGCCAACATTGTTCATGTCATCAGAGAGACGTTTCTGAACTCGACGTTGGTGCTTGTCCAATTCATCTTGAGTCGAAGCATTCTTCTCCAGGAACGCCGCTGGCTCCATAGGCACATTGACACCCTTCAAGAAGTCTAGAACATGAAGAACGGATTAGCAGTTGGACAAAGGAACACAAGGCAATGTCAACACTTACGATGCCGGACACAATGATCAGTGTCTTTATGAACAGATTGTGAACATGTCACTTGTGCAACCCCGTTTGATGGCTCTTGTATTTCCTGGCAACAAGTCTTATGCGGCACTTTCGGTGGTGGAACCTCAAGTTCCGGCTTCCTCTTTCTGCTCAGGTGTTAGTATTTGGCATTGTTGTATGATGAGAGACCTTACCGTCCACGTTTGGTGCGAGGAGGGAGGGTGATGTGACCTGTACCTGGGCTAGGCTGAGGAGAGCGAGTTTCGAGACCGAGGTGCGACTGTGTTGGCTGCAAATCTCCCCTGCGCGGGACTTCGGGAGGGTTTGGGGGAGGCATTGTAGTTGGTACCGATGAGTACAGACCCGGGGAAGTGGGTTCAGGCGTAGGAACGGTGCTGCAGTCGAGAACGTAAGCAGAATGGTCATGGTGTTGCGCATCGCCAAATTGCTGTGTAGCCGGTAACGTGTTCTGCACGAGATTCGGAGCATGGGATTGTGCATGCAACGCGATGTGGTTGGGAGGTGGTGCTGACAGTGGCGTAGTTATTGGGAATGCATCATAAGTCGGAACTGCGTGACTTTCGAACTGCTCCTTCAACCCTACCTGATATCGAGGTATGTCTTGAGTGGGATATGGAAGGACGTCCAATGGTATTCCTGATGACTGTGGCTGAGACGGATTCTGGTACAGCGGCGGAGCGAAATTCGGATGCGTCATCCACGATGTTTGTGTTCGCTGTTTCATGTGTGCCGGCATAGGTGATGACTGTAGCAGGTACGGCCACTGATGAGCCGGTGGAGCGGGTTGCGGGTATACGTCCGATAAAGTCTGAGGTCGAGGTCGCATCTGCACTGATGGAGCAGTAGGCATTGGACCAAGCATTGAAGTAGGCACTGGAGTAGGCATTGGAGTAGGCGTCGGAGTAGGCATCGGAGCCACATTGGGTAATGCTCTTGGGTAGATATGCGAAGTCAGAGCGGGTACTGGAGCGGCAAGAGATAGTGACTTGGGCGCTGGTGCGGCATAAGACGGTGGTGGCGGCATCGACGGTACGGTTGGGTCTTGAGGATGTGATTGAGCGGTTGTGAAACACTGTTCCAGCCCTTGATGCGAATGATTCCACGACCGAGACTGCGTTACATGTTAGTTTCCGGCCCCACTGAACAAGAGAAGTGATAATGGTACCTCGGCCGCCTGTGGCGCAGAGGGCTGTCCGTATAGCGACCGCGATGTTGGTTGGCTCCATGATAAGTATTGAGAACACGAGTCTTGCGTCTCTGAATGTGAGTATGGCTGCATGATGTAGGCGAAAAGCGTGACCAGGGCTTGAAGTGTCACGATCATGTGTTTCGGACGTTGAGATTGCGCGATTCCTCGCATAGCCGCTCTGCCTCGAGCGGGTGTTTCGACTGTGCCTCCGAGAAAAGAGAGCATCTACACTCTAAGACAACCCACAGCAAGGCCCTACTTTGCAGACCCGCTATAGTAGGTAGCGCAGTCGATGGACAGGTCGAACCGGATCGTAGTCCGACGTCGAGCGGCAGAATCTGCCGTGCTGGCTTCATCATCGTCGATACGAGGTACCCTTGTGGGAATGAGCGGCTGAATACGCCGTGATAGCTTCATTGTTGTCGGTGCGGGATGGGTACGCGTAGGTTTTTGTGCAGAAGTGCAGACATCAAATAGAGAACATGTTCCCACTAGGCCGCGTGGTACCTAGTTTGATGTCCGTGGCCGCTAAATCCCCCCAGGGCCCCTTCCGTGCCGCCCGTGTCGATTGTGTTGATTGGCTGACATTGTCAACACCATTTCCTCGTCCACAATTCATTTCCCGGCACATTGTTGCACCACATGGACGCTCAGGAACAGGTTTCCGGAGTCCACAATAAATGATATCAGCTAACCTTCCTAGGCGATCAGCCCTCGATAATGAGTTGGGCCACCGAGTTGCAGATGGATACTCGGCATGCTGCAAGCGATTTCGTTCTAGAAGTGCTAATATCTACGGGCCTGACACGACATTATAAGACACACCCCCGAGCCATCTAAACACTCACTCGCAGCACATATTCCTTTGCAAACATGTCCTATCACCAGCACCTTGCGCCGTCCCAGGACGGCTCGCTGCATGCATTTCAACAGCATGAAGCCATTCTTTACCCGAATCCACACAACGTCCTCATGCAAGCTCAGCCGGGCCAGAATTATGTCCAGAATTATGGACAGTTCCAAACCCCAACTGTGCGAGGTTCTCCCATGACAGGGTCTTCCCAACCATTCTCCCAACCATCCGCCACTACACCGTTTGTGGCGGGTACAGCCAATCTCACACCACAGCCTCCCACACAGACAGTCCAGTCGCAGGTAGCACAGAGGCCAGCCCACAGGGCGACGACAACGACTCGTTCTACACAGCCGCCTCGTGCTGCGCAATCGACTTCTGCTGCACCACCACAACGGGTTACTAGGAGCCTTGAACCGCCTGGTCCAATACCTCCAGATCCTGCGCCTGGCTTACCTTCGGCACAGCTGGGTACTGAGCAGATGGTACGCAGAAAGTTGACCCTTGCCCTTCGGGAACAACCCAACGTCCGCCGCATGCACCAGTCGCAAGGTCGACAAGGTATTGCCTGCGGTGAGGGGAACTCGAAGGCATGGGTGACTGACCCAGGGTCAACATCGAAGAAGGTATGTTCGACCCTAGACTTGAACTTGAGCTACACGTCCTGACACATACATCCAGCTGTTTCATACATATGGCATAGCTCGGTCCACTGCCGGAATTCGTAGCAAGCCTAAATACGATCAGTTCAGCATTCGTCTCGACCCTCTTCCGGGACCGTTCCACCAATGGTGTAAAGCCGATGAGGATCGACTGGGGTTGCTGGAGTGGATTAGACAGCACAGAGAACTGGAAGAGTACGTACAGCCATCCACACTCTCATAGCGATCTATGCTAACTTGTTCAATCAGCGCGCCCCTCAACGATCCGGATTGCCGTTACGTCGCTGGAAGACAAGATGTTGCAGAGCGTTACGTTCGCTTTTTGAGTGCGGATGCTGAGCGAAAGAACTCATCCATGCCCCGAAGAGAGGATCTACAACGACGGGCCGAGCAGAACGTGTAAGTTGCTCTTCTCGCCAGCATCATTATCTCGTTTACTCACATTCGTCAGACGGCACGGGTTTCCTTTCATAAAGGATATGCGAGGTGACCTTGGGAACAACACCTGGACCGATGCTTGTAACCAGAGTAGGTGGTTACCTCCAGACCTACTTCGAGATGGCATGTGGGTCCAGGTAGTTCACACAATTGAGGTTTCGAACGCCAAAAAGCGCATCGGTGAGAGATGGGTTCCTCGTGACTGGCATGTAAAGGTACACCTTTACTCCATCCATGTCATCAACGAGCCCTTTGTGCCAGAGGTCGCTGAGCTATACACACTGTCCGGCTTCGAATATCGTCCCCCGTCACCCGAACCCGCCACAGCTGCTGTTAGCTCCGGCAACGCTTCCGCACCAGGCGCCTCCTCCAACCCGGCCATGGATATCGTTTCAAGTGGTTCGTCCAAATCTTGGTCAACGCCTGTCCCGCCTCAGGACACTGATGGCGATTTCGACGAGGAAGACATCGACGATGACGCGATGATGTCTACGACAACAGCTAAGGGCAAAGGCAAAGGCAAGGCCAAAGCGATTGAGATGAATGACACGGACGATTTCCCATCCTACGATACACCCGGGATGTCGCAGCAGTCCTACAACTTACCTTCACGCCAAAACTCTCCCTTCGGCAGTCCGACGCCTCACCAAACGCCAGGGTCAAGCACCGGTATCCGTTTGGGCGGGTTCTAAAAGTAACTCGACAGCGCACTACGGTCTTCCTCACTATTGTATTATAACTAGCTCTAATCTTGATTCCAATAATTTAACCCTCTCCACATGCTGTCAAGATCTTGTAACCATGCCATGTGATTCGCGATCATCTGACGACGTGCCATGCTGTCTGAGCGGACTTGATGAGTTTCACATCAATCGAGGCTCCACACTCCATTGTGACTGATCAATGCACTGGAATTTAACGACCACCAGAGTGGTATCGTTCGAAAGTGTCTTCCTTTTGAGAACTCAGACCCGTTTTGTAGATAGAACCCGATTTCATTTAGCCCTGTCAAACGACACACTCATACCCCTTGACTTGTTTGGCGGACCGAGCAATGGCACCGCTTCCATTGATGACCCTGCGGGCTAACCTGGTGGCTACAAGGTAATAGTTACACTGACTTAGTGTCGATGTGCAGCTGGTGAGGTTGTTGGGTTTCGGGGGGAACTATCGGTTCCAGTTGATGGGGAAACGGATACTGCTGATCGATTGCGTTGGCTCCATCGCGTCTCTGGGCATCCACTCCCCCTGTCTTTCTTCTCGGAAACCAGTAGCAGTGAGATAGACTGGTCGAGTGTCGTGGCCACGAAACGCGATGGGTATCTGCACCATCGCTGGATCGTATCTACCGAGCGACTCGCTCATGCGACGAGCGATTTGATCATGTAGTCCCCCTTCATCCATCCACTCCTGCGACATTACCGTATTGTCCAGAAGTAACAAGAACCGTGGAGTGCCCGGTGTATGCCATATGTCATCAACCCAATGCCCGCTCGAAACCAGACTGCGCAACTCCGACGCGCTGTCAAACCACGAGGATATCACTTCCGGAGTATGCTTTCGGAGCGCTTCAACAACGTCCCCAACCTTGACACCATTGTCATTGCGCACGCGCACGAGAAGATGCTTGTTAGAGAACTCGAAGCGGTCCAAATCGTCGTTGAAACCGCGCTTAGTCCTACGGGTTTGATATAACCCGATTACTCGACAAGGCGGTTGAGATATGAACATAGGCCCTAGAAGGTCGAGCAAGCCTTGGGTGACACACAGCTCAAACAAAGAGTCCACTGAGCTGCTACCAGACCGAAGAGCAATCTCAATCCTACCCATTTTGACCTTGGACCGCTGTCCAAACAAGGCACTGAAATAGGGATTGATGTTGAACTGACTAAAGTCGAGCCAATAGGTCCTCCCAAGCGCAGACACAGGCTCACTGTGCTGATGCAAGAAGACTGAATTGAAAGTATCTTTCTGGTCCTCGTGCAAATCAACCAAGGCGCTTACGATAGCCGATGGAAGACTGGGATACTGTGTGTATCGCGCCGGAAGGTACAAAAGCTTCCCTCGCAACCGAACGGAAACTGTGGTTGGGATGTAGTTGGTGCGCCCATTTTCGACGCGTTGTGTAAGATGACTAAGTATCTGAGCAAAATTGTCGAGCTCGTCCTGGGTTGGTTCACACCACGCCGTGTAAGGTGTAGTGACGAGTGAAGCGTACTCCACTGGAATGTTGAATGGATAAGCCTGCCAATATGAATGCCTGTGGCGGCTGCTGATGACCGACTTCGACGAGCGCCGCCAGACTCGCGACACGTTCCACGCCGACACCTGTGCCTCAGGACCCGCAAACTGGAGAATCATGTCGAGCAACTCAGGTATCCGGAGGACCCGATGTCCACGCGAGGCGTCCATACGGGTAGGTACACTGGGAATGTTGCTGCGCGCGGGGCCACGTTGATAGTTTGCGATGCGCCGATCGATGTGGAGCAAAGCACACCTGCGCCACTCCTCAAGCGCTTGCTGCTCCTCTGATGAATACGACATGGGCCCTCTCAGGCGCAGATTTGTCCTCTCGCGAGTGGCAACCTTCGTAATGTCGATGTCCGCCCTTTTGTAGGGGTAGTTGTTCGCCCTTTTGGAGGGGTAGTGTGCTGCTGCCAAAGCGCGTAGACGCTCCTGAGGCCCCATCGTCGAGACATCGTTCGCACGTGCGGTCGTGGTCATTTTAGAGGTAGGATTTAAGTCGGCTGCAGGGGAGTGTAAAGAGAGAGAATCGAGATCTCTGTTGCGAAGTTGACTCTTGCCGTTTGTAGACCGTGGGAAAGCTATGGCGCGATTTTTGCATGCAGCGGTTGCCTGATGTGGTACCACCGACCAGCGCCGCTATCCATGGGTGCCACATATGCCCTACCAAACGACTTCCTCGCCACTATCTCGAACGCGCACTCTGCGTTCATCACGAGGAACGAGCCAGTAGATTACTCGCCCTTGCATACCGAAGAACATACGGAAACTTCTAGAATGCCCCAGAGGCAGCTTGCGACCTCTTCGCGCCGCGAGGGCTCAAGGCCAGTCGGCGCCGGCTGCGCTCGTGTCAGGCATCTGCCCACGCCACCTTCTGCCTTCTACCAACACAGCACTTCTCGCGAGCAGAGGCCCACAGAGCGTTGGTCGAGACTCTGCGTCACTCAGGTACGCCGATGCAGCATTCCAACAACGGCAAACTGACTCTGCTCTCAGCGTCCCACCTTCATTTCGCAATGGCACCCCATCGCATCATGAGCGACCTCCAGCGCCACGCGCGACTTCACGATTCGCTTCATACGAGGTAGTCAAAGCCCGTGAGATCCCACGGTCCTCCGCAATAGCATCGCGGCGGTCATAACAGCCACTTCCTGATACCTGGCCCAACTGTGACAGATCCTCTACCGCGATTTCGCATCCCCACAATGTGCGACCTCGGACCACCGTACGAACATACATGCTGCTGGAGACTGCGTTTTCCGCAGAACAAACGAGTCAAGATCGCATCTGACAGCACCAAAGGCTTATTTTGCATTGGCATTCCGTGACAGCAGCATCACGACGCAACACCGTCGCGCAGCACTTGAACCCGAACTCACGGTGAGGAGTGAGCTAGCATAGAGGAGTTCGCACCAGATTGAACAATCTAAGCCTACAGAGACCTGGTTTTCTGCTACACAATGACACGATACCCACAATGAAATCCGATCCAGTAGGACCGGAAAGACCCCGGCAGAACTACGGCGACCGTGACGCACGGATACAGCGCACGGACCGGCGCTAACACTAGCGTCTACAGGCTCCCGCCTGGCTACGCCGTCCTCCCACACTCCCACCCACTCTCTCTCCCACACTCCCACCCACTCTCTCTCCCACACTCTCTCACAACAACCGCCCCACCACTTCATTACAATTATTCTACAACTGCTTTCGCTTCGGCGCCCACATCACATCGGCCTACCAACGGCGACACCGCCACGACATCCTCAACAAGAGAAAAGACCGGATACCAACCGCAAACACGAAACCACCTGAACCTAGACCACGGCAATCCAGCCTCTGCGACCTCACCCAGCCTCACCAACCTCACCGACCTCACCCAGCTTCACCGACCTCACCCAGCTTCACCGACCTCACCCAGCTTCACCGACCACACCCAGCCTCACCAACCACACTCATCATCACCGACCACACTCATCATCACCGACCTCACGCATCATCAGCGACCTCACTCATCATCAGCGACCTCACTCATCATCAACACCGACTTGTACATGATGTTGTCACGGCGACGTCGACTTGGATCTTCTACCCTGGTACATGGTCCGTGCGAGCCATCGCAGCTTCTTGTAGCTCTCAACTGGCCTTTTCTCACATCGACGTTCGAAGCCCAATTTCCAGCCATCCCATTGGCCGCCCCACCCATTAGTGGGCCCACAATAGGCGGCAGCTAATCCCAAAAAAAATCCACCGGCCT